GAAAGGAGACTTAAGTCAATGTAAAAACTGGCGTGGAATTATGCTTCTGTCCATTCCAAGCAAGATACTAAGTCGCATCATCCTGGAGAGAATCAAACAAGCCCTAGATGAAAAACTTCGTCCGGAACAGGCCGGATTCAGGAGAAACAAATCATGTATTGATCAAATCGCCACTCTACGGATCATCATTGAACAAAGCTTGGAATGGCAGTCACCTCTCTATCTCAACTTCATCGACTTTGAAAAGGCCTTCGACAGCGTCGATCGAGAGGTCATTTGGAAACTACTTCGCTACTACGGGGTCCCATCGACAATTATACATCTCATCCAACAGTTATACGACAATGCTGCATGCCAAGTAATCCACAACGGGAAACTTACGGAAGCCTTCGAAGTGAGGACGGGAGTGAGGCAAGGCTGTCTACTATCACCAATGATCTTCCTGATTGCAATTGATTGGATAATGCGACAGACAACGGCAACCAACGAGGGAACAGGCATAAAATGGACTGACACAAAAGACTTGGAGGATCTGGATTTCGCCGATGATATATGTCTGATTTCCCACAAACTGGAAGATATGCAAGTGAAAAGTAACAAGTTGGCAGAAGAAGCATCAAAGATAGGACTTCACGTGAACATAGATAAAACAGAGGTGATGAAGATTCCTGGCCAACATCAACAGCAACAACAAAACAGACAACAATCAGCATAAATGGGAAGAACCTGAAAGAAACAACCTCCTTCACCTACCTGGGAAGCATCGTCTCAACTACAGGCGGAACTGACGAGGATATCAAAGCCAGAATCGGAAAAGCAAGACAAGCTTTCATTACTCTCAAATCTGTGTGGAGGTCAACAGCACTCAGCATCAAAAATAAGATCCGGATTTTCAACTCCAATGTGAAGTCAGTCAGTGCTACTATACGGATCAGAGACTTGGCGAGTCATAAAGAGCATCTCAAACAAACTTCAGACCTTCATTAACAGTTGTCTTCGCTCAATACTCAAGATCAGATGGCCAGAAAAGATCAGCAACAGGGATCTCTGGGAGCGAATCAACCAGGAACCGATTGTGAAACAAATAGGCAGGAAGAAATGGAGATGGATTGGCCATACGCTGAGGAAACCATCAAGTGACATCACTAGACAAGCCCTCGAGTGGAACCCGAAAGGGAGGCGGCGAGTTGGTCGTCCAAGGGTGACTTGGAGGAGGTCATGCGAGGAGGAGATGAAAGCATGTGGACAGTCCTGGAGCAGGGTGAAAAAGTTGTCAGAAAACCGAAGGCAATGGAGGTGCGCAGCTGAAGCCCTATGTTCCTCTAGGAACTAAAGGATACAATAATAATAATAATCTGTTCACAAATGGTATGAACAACTGCCACGAATTGTTTACTATGTAGTGTCAGACAATCGACCTTTGCATTTCCAGGTGAAAATAAATTTTCTGTAATTCGCATACATTCATACCTACAGAAAATAAACAAGCCTATTGGAATACTTGATTAAAATATTCAGTTGTTAATGCTTACGTATTCTAAAGAAGGTAATCACTGAAATTTTTACCGTTTAGTAGTTCACTTAGAAGGCAATTTTCAGTGGTAAACACGTAAACCAAATTACAAGCAATGAATGTAGGCAGTTAGAAAGACTTACGTTTATGATATATTTCACTACTTTTAAGGAAGAGATTATAAAGAACATGAAATTTCAGACACTTTTCTCTATAGATTAATTAGCTTAAGTGAAAACGCACTTATAAATGTTGGTAAACCAATCACAACTGGTTTCAACAGATAGAAAAATTCTTTTTTTATATGCTTGTATAATCCAATAACTGATTTGTAAGGACGGAAAAACATCTTACACTTTATTGTTTTACTAACTGCTCCAAAGCAATGAAAAAGAGGGGTGGTTAGGCGTCAGTTTACCGACTCCACAACGAAAAATCAATTGAATCACTATAGAAACTTCAAGACACACAGACAATACAAAAGATATAATCATTCTTCACTGGAATCGCGTATGCAAAATGAAACGGGCCAGTGGAATCTCTGGGGAATCCAGTGTTGAAAGCAAAATAAGCAATGGGAAATGGATTGTAAAAGGAATCAGGAGATGTGGTACAGAAGTATTAGGAACCAGTGCATGGAACGTAACTGAACTCAACAAATTGTTAGCTGCAGAGTCAATAATCTACTCTGGTCATCCACACGACAACCACAAACACACACGCGGAGAATGTTCCTTAGGACATCACCAACAGCATCGACGGGTCTCATGCAGTGAGAACCAATCTCTTCCAGGATGATGACAGAAAGATCCAACTCAAAAGATAGGAGCTTTACAACTATTCAGTGCTACAAACAACGCAGACCAAGGGAAGGAAGACTTCTGAAAACAGTTCGAAACAGTAATGGACAAGAAACCAATCAGATAGTGAAGTTAATATTCTAATGAGTGGTATGAATGGCGGCCAAACTGGAAGCAGACAACACAGAAAGAGAACTCATTATGAGTTGAGGGTGTCTCTGTGAATTGAATGAGAAGGCAACATTTTAGAAAATTCTGCTCTTTCAACGATATACACAAGGCAACAAGGATCTCACCATATGGACAAAAAACAGCAGGTAGACGTCATTTCCATCTCAAGGAAGTGAAAACGAAGCTAATTGGACACAAAATCGGGAGGAGAGGTAGATGTATTCTCGGACCACCTCCTATCTATTGCTGATTTCAGGTTGAAAGCCTTCAAAGAAGCTGGAAATGGATCAAATTAGATTTTACAACTCGAAAAATGAAAAATGAAACTAAAAAAAGAAACTTTACTGTAGGCATCAGGTAAATATTGTAGATATCAAGAAACATCATCGAGTAAACTTGCTCGGAAAAACACTATAACTGTCTGAAGAAGATGTGTAAGAGAACTTGTGTAGAAATCTTAAGTGAGGGGGGGGAGGCAAGATAAGTAATGGCGCTCTACGGACACTTGGAAGACGACCGAGTAGAAAAAGACGGTGAAGCAGACGATGAACAAAGAAAGGAGTAGCTGAGCATAACCTACAAAGCATTGAACAAAGGAGTGAAGAAGAGTACTAGGAAAGACAAAAGATGCTTCTAAGACACAGTGACAACCCAAGCAGAACAGGCTGTAGGTAAAGAGACCTCAAAACATTACATGAGGTGGCTTAATCTCTATGCGGCAAGTGATTAACGCAGATGAAATCAATAATAGTGAAAGAAGCCTGATTAACAAAGAGGTGAAACATAGGGAACAATGGACTGGTCATTTCAAAGGTCTCTTGAATCGACCGTAAATATCACTAACAGACAACGAACTTCCCTTGAACAAAATTAGAAATCTGGAAAGCATTAAAGTTACCGAAAGCTAGCCGAGAAACCAGCAGAACCATATTATATTGCCTAGAAGTACTTCAGACGCACCTACATACCTCAACGGACATGTCCACGACACTATTGCAAAAAAATGCACAAGGAATGAAATATACATTGCCAGACTACCAAAAAATGACTACTTAAACCTTTATAAGAACTGGTACTGTCATGTTGCTGTCCACCCTGAGCAAAATATTAAGTCATTCTGCAGCGATTAAAATATGCTATGGATACAAAACTCCTCCCAGAACGGGCTAGATTCAAAAAAAGCAAATCTCGCTCGGCTCAAATCTCAACGATACATATCATCATCGAACAGAACACAAAATAGCAGCCAACTCTACCTCAACTGTGGGGTAATTTGGCAGCTGCTTGAACACCACCGAATGTGGTGACGCAAGCATTTATAAACCTCATTCAACAGCTATAAGATGATGCCACATGCGGAGTGATTCACAACGGAAAGCTCAGTAAAGCCTTAGAAGTGGAGACAAAAGTAAGATAAATCTTTCTCCTTTTACCTACGATCTTCTTGGTTGTAGTAGACTGGATTATATTGACAGACCAGGGGGAATTAAAAGGTGGACAGAGGTTAGACTGACAAAAAGACTTTAGAAGACCTGAACTTCACAGGTGATTTATGTCTCAGCTACAGGCGTCATGGATTAGGATGTAGAAGCTAGCCCGGATCAGACCAAGAAAGAAAGACAGGCATTCATCACCTTCAAATCAGTGAAGAAATTTACTGCAATTAGAATGAGGAACAAGATCCAAATTTTCAACACGAATGTCAAGTAATCGCTTCTGTGTGGTTAAAGAAACTCGGAGAATCACGGAAAACAGATCCGACGGATCGCACACTTTCATTAACAGTTGCCTTAGCTCGACAGTGAAGATCAGATGGCCAAACAGGGTAAGCAACAGGGAACTCTGACAATGCAGTGAACCAACCAAGAACATATTGCTAGTCCAAAAATTATCCAGAAAGAAACGGAACTGGATTGGATACACGCTGAGAAGACCATTGAGTGACACCAAACACTGCGCAGGTCATCGGGTGAAACCCGAATAGGAAGTACAGTGTTGATATCTGCGGGTGATATGAAAGAGATGGCACGAGGAGGAAATGAATGCTTATGATGATCGTGGGGGAAGGTAAAAAGACAGCGGACAAAAGAGTGAAATAGAGATGTGCTGCCAATGCGTTACGTTCCACTCGGCATTTAAAGGAAGAATAGTAGTATATGAACAGTGAGATGAGTGTATTTCCATGCGATATAACTGAGATTTAAAAGTTAGGAAAATACATGCGTATTTAGGCCTTACAAGCTGCAACCATGGTTTAACCATCTGACAAGAAAATCAAGATCACATACAATCTAAGGTAAGAACGCCTATTTTTCCAAAATGCTATCCGAATAATGACTGTTATCACACGCGAACTAATCAGTGTGTTCCTTCATATCCTTTGATTTAAAGCATTTTTTGGTAATCATGACTTGTTATAACCTATCTAAAATATCATTAGGAAGTAATTCTCGGAAATATAATCTGGTTATATTAGAAAATATCTACCAGCTTGATTTTAAAATACTTTGAAATACCTGGATTATTGTTGTTATAGCAGGAAAACGGATCCCAGCGAACATTATTCATATAAGGGAACCAAGGATAGGCAGGTGGAGGTGAATATACACCAGATGGTCGGCAGAACACATAAGAATTTCCCGGAATTCTATCAACAAATCTTTTCAACCCGTCTGGATTCGTACATGAGCATCGTCCACCAGTTGATGATGCTTCTGGTAAAGGATTTTCTGGAGGTTGTGAATCGTAAGAAACAAAGTGACAACTATCAGATAAAGGGGACGCACAGTGCCCTTCAAGTACATGAGCGTGACTAGCGTCCATATAGCATAAATGTGCTGCTGGAGAATAATTTGGAGGAGAGTTCATCTATTTTAGAAAAAGACAAAATTTCAAGGTTGAGAGTATGACATTACAAGCAATATTAAACAAGTAATAAACAAATATGTCATTGTATGCTTCATTTTGAAAACAGTAATAAGGCAAAGTAACAGTTTACAAGATTTTAGCAATTACAAAGAATTATGCAACTGAATCCATACGCTATTTTCGATAATCTATCATCAGTACCTCTTCTCAATGAACTTCACTGAATACCATTTCGAAGTAGATATAGCTTTTAAGTCACAAAAACACTCATATTTAATAAATAACATTGGTATGTGTCAACAACAACATTCAGTTGCCAGTACAAGATTATATAGCAAGATTTTAAATACTAACAGTGTATTTTAAGTTGTAAAAGTATGATCAGACATTGTTTATCATCGCATATTTATGCAGTAATTTGGACAGTTTTATAAATGTGAATTTTAAAAGATGCCTTATGCATAATTTAAACAGCCTTTACCTTTTATTTGGTGTGAACAGTTCGTTTACAAATAACTTGTCCTTTATTAACAAGTTGCTGATATGTCAGACTGAATGACTGGAAACCTTTAAAAGTATAAGCACTATGATGTATTCAACTTTAACAAAAGACTATCTTTGTAGAATTTATGAAATAATAACGTAATTTTAAAAACCTATTCATTCTCTGACATATAACCCATAATAAAAATCAATAATATTAATAAGTGCGGTGTAGAAATAATTTCTTCGAGTTTGACCACGGACTGATATCAGTTCGAGAACCACTGAAAACCAGGAAGTACTGAACAGCTGTTTCACCCTAGTTTGGGAATTATCACCAGTACGCGCCCACTGGAGTTCGAACCCAGAACCTTCAGGAAACCAGGCAAGCTGGTATACTATTCAGCCACTGAGATCCGTTTAAGTGGTCCATGAATTCTTACTTCTAGCAATTCATGATTTAGCGTAACCAGCAACCAATGTCATCGGCGGGAACTCTATCCTCATTCCCGACTGGACGGTCCCCACTGGTCATGACTTCTCACTAGAACTCCAGGAAACCCCGTCCTGTAGCAAATCACCGGAGTTCTAGTGAGAATTCGTGACCAGGGAAGGTCATCCAGTCGGGAGTGAGTTTGCAGTTCCGCCGATGACATTGGTTGGTGGTCGCGCTTAAAAAATTTGTAAATCCTTACAAATCAACTCTTGAAAACAAATAAGTTCAATAAACCACTTTAACGACAACAAAGATAAAAATGAGGCAGTGTATGAAAATGAAAACAAGACAACAGAATAGTGTCCACAAAAAGCAATAACAACAAAGAATAAGTGAATTTGTACAAAACGAAGGTTACATAGTAAAAACATGTAACGTCAAATAATAACAAACATATACATATATTAAAATACACTTATATGGACAAACACTAAACAAATAAAAGATTTATTCACTCACTTAACACGTAGTAAGCCGATCTTTTGAAATCTAAGGAATTCAATACTGAAATTTAAGTGTTGTATATAGCATTATTAACGCTGTAAAAGTCTTTACATTATTTAAAAAAACCTATGAACAACAGTTCACATAAAGACTGACTTTTAGCTTAGAAGGAAGATGACCATAATTCAATAAATAGTTGAAAACACATTGAAAATACTGAAATTCTAAGCAGTACCTATTTTATTTTGTAAACTAGGGGAGACAGTACTCTATATCTAGTCTAACCTGAAGTAACAAAACAAAACCCACTTAAAAATTGCAATGAGTAATATCTTACCGCATAAGATAAAGGACTAATTAAACGATTCATTCTGTGTGCACAAGCTGTATAGTCAAGACATAATTGTTGCTGAAGTGTTTGCTGTTGTTGTGTCTGTTTTAAATGAGGATAGAAATAATGATAATATGGAAATTGAGAATAAGATGGATAACGCTGAGGAAACATGTGGGAAGAAGTATACCACTGATACCAGTTTGGAGGCCAAGGGGTTGCTTGTCCTTGTTGAGGATCAGGCACATGACTACTATTGGAGTCTGTATAATAATTCGTATGACTGATATTTCTATCCACACACCCTGCTGAAGATGGTGCGTAGCTGATAGGTGGAACGGTCAAACAAGTGTTATTATGCCAGTTCGCTGTCCTCGATGATGACATCAGATCAGATTGGCTAGATGCAGAAACGTAAGGTACTCCAGCTGCCGTAGATCGTTCTGCCGTGTTCCAATCAGTTTGTTCTAGATAACAAGGAGAAACCATATATTAAATATGCACAAATTATGTTGACCAATAGATAAATATTCGCAAAAGATACCAGATATTAGGTACTTTTCTAAGTTTACTCTACCTAGCTTTCAATTGACTGGAAAAATGGTTGGATTTTCACAAATGTACTAGGACCTTTACGCACTATTTATTTATATTAAAAAATGCCTGTCTTAACGTTTGCTTAGATGTATTTATATATGCATCAATTCCTCAGCGTTCTAATTGGAACAGGGTTTCAAGCATGATGTCTGAATTTGCAGTAGCTGTAGAGTCTCGGTATCAAGTGGAGCTGCTGGTCTCACGCATGACTCGCCCTCATTATCAGGTATACTACTGGCTTAACAAGATTTAGGATTGTATCTGCCCGAAATTGAACCCAGACCACGCACGTGGTTAGCGAGCATTCTACGCATTATATATATATATATATATATTCTTCAAGTATTTGTTTGATTGGTTGGAGGATCTCATCATGAGCTGACACTGGTTAGAGAACCATTGGAAAACCTGTAGAGAGTACTGGAAGATGTTTCGTCCTAGTTTGAGACTCTTCAGTTGTACGAATCCACCGCATGGGTTTGAACCCAGGATCTTCTGGTTACAAGGCGGGCTCATAGACCATTAAGCCACTGGCACCTGATCCAATGGCTCATGAATTTTGAGTTCTGACAATTCACGAGTCCCAAACTAAGACGAAACAGCTGTTCAGTGCTCCCTGCAGGTATTTAAATGGTTCTCTAACCGATATATATTAGAATGTTTAAGAATGGTAAACAAAAAGTAAACAACTCTAAACCAATATTTTAACTAGCAATTTCACTTTGTTCTTCGTTCATAATTTATCAAAAAATCTAGTGTAATCTGGTATACAACTATTTTTCACGGTGTCTATGCCTACTACATTGATGGATGCGTTATCTGCACTACATACATTGAAGATGCATAAACTTCCATTTACAAATAAAGTTGAGAAATATACGAATTTTCCACCATTACTTCAAAAACCTTAATCCACAGGAATCGAATCGCTTTTCTGATATATCTTCAAATAAATGTGTGAGTCCGAAAGGTATCGTGCTAACAACCACGATTGCTTCCAACCACCTAATATCAACAGTTCACAATGCACGATGATGGCGAGCCATTTAACATGGTGGTCACATTGCAAACTTGACTGATAGAATTCAGTCTGCACCAAACAGAAGGTTAGACCCACGAAATCAGTTATCTAGTGTCCAATCAAAGTAAACTCAGCATTTTTTTCATGATTGTAAAACTTGTGTTTTTTAATACCTTGAGGTCAGAGTGAATTTTTCTGGCTTTATTGACAAACGAGTTCCTTTTGTTCTCCTTAATGGGCTTATTTCTCGAGCTTATGATGAACATTGAAATCATTAACATTGTGTTCATAAAATCATATAGCATTTCTTAGGAAATTTCAAATATTTGCTAGCAACATTAAAGTAGTAAGGAACATCGCTGCCATCAACACAGGATACTAAAAACGTATGTGAATATACCTTCCAGTGCAAAATAAAAAATGCTTTTTCTCTAAATCGCCACTGGTTCAGTATACATACAGTCTTATCTGGTCTACGCTTCGTAGGATGCTTATTCAATATACTTTCACTCGTAAATCACTCAGAAATCTAAATTTCAGTTGATAGACGAACACCAGTTGAAGAAACAAATTACTGTTAATAAATCAGGAGACTTCTCGTCAGAATACTTTACACACAGAGTTATATATATATATATATATATATATATATATATATATATATTACAAGGAGATATATGACTAATAAATAAACCACAACCATTACTAAACGAAGGGTGAAAATGTCTTACGGATCAATTTCTGATAATTAAAGGATGAGAGAGGCATGAGACACTGTAAAGTAAAACATTGCTTAAGCTAATTTTTATTTTCCGCTGGTTGATTACATTGAACTGAAATGTTTGGACTGTTGACATATTGTGCTCCTACTGAGGATTCTTTAACGATGTCTGAAGATTAATATGATGTCATCTGGTTGGTGATGACTAGCAGTGAAATCCGGATGTGCCCCAATCCCCAGTGAGTGATAGTGTTCCCACTGAAACTGAAACTCAACATCCGTCATTCCAAACTACGAAGCGCTGTCCACTAAGCCAATGCTCTACGAGAGCCGTATCTTGTGCGACAGGTATCAATTACTACTTACTTAAGCTAATTTGTACTACTCGTTGATTGATTATAAGGGGCTGAAATACTGGAAACCACTGCTAGTCACCATCAGTTGAATATGACAGCAATGGATAACGTCCCAGTTACTTCACCATAATAAACAGTTAGTTGTTAGAGTGACAGAACTTGAAAATACAAGGAATTGTGAAGTTAATAATAATAGTAGCAAAACGAGTTAAGATAATGACACTGAAAAAACACAATTTAACCAAGAGAAGAAGAAGAAGAACGGATGAAATAAAATAGCAATAATGATGCAACCACATAATTTTGGGATTTGTGTCTCTATCAGTTTGATATTTCTGAAAGTATTTACACCAATATATTTCTTGATCAGTTGTCGCAACTATATATTTATTAGTCACAAATCTTCTTAAGTATTTCTCATGGTAAATATACATAACTCTGTATGAAGAGTATTCAGCTGAGGAATTCTACCAAAATTTGGTGAATTCATTATATTCTGCTTTATTAACATTTGCTGATTATTTGTCACCCGGGAAAAAATGTTTCTCAATGGGTTAACTAACGTCTAGCAATACATCCAATAATTTTCTTTTTACTTTGTGTATTTCAAAACTTCATTAAATCAAAACCTACTTCACTGGATGCTTTCTTAATTACATTTCACCCTGATCTTTATTCCCAATGACAAAGGAATAATGATAATTACTGAGCTGAAAATAAATTAAGACAATGATGTTGTTGAAATGCATCATTAAATAGCGACAGTTTGTAATAGTATGACCTATCTAATACACGACTGAAGGTGTCTGGTGACTAGATAGTCTAGGCGGATTGAATGAGCCTGTTATTCATATGGTAACTCGTAGAAAGATGAAATATTTGGATGAAGTAAAAAATAATTACCCGATTGGGAATTTATGTACGATTGATTGGGATCTTCATTTACATAAACTGGATATTGTGACAGATTTGTGACAGAGAAGTGATCCAGAATATCGTCAACTTTATTAACATTAGAAGAACTCATATCATTAGCTCCCAAATGTTGTGGAATAGAGCTTGATGTTCTCTGTCTTGTAAGCACCTGTGAGCCATGCTCAGAAAAATTCCCTGATAAGACTGAGGATGAATGCCCGGCACTAGACTGTTTCGATTTTGCAACCAACTCTGGCTTTGTTTGCATTTCTGAATTGTTTGTACCCGTGCCGTTAGTTGGATGATCAGGACCGAATTTGCTATCCAAATATCGTTCAAAATGTTGGAAACCTATTGGCAAACGTTGGTGCATTAAATCAGCGTTTGAATGACTTCCATCCTCAGATGCACCAGAGCTAATGCGACTGCTGCGAGATTCTGATGATGTTTCAAAGCGATTATTTCTCACAGCACTATTACTGCGACTGCTTGATACTGACCTTGTAATATAAGGAGATTCTGCACCTGTTCTTCCATGAGTGCTCTGATCATCTTTACCAGGAATTGTACATGTATCAGGTCGTTCAGTTTTAGCAAACCTTTTTTGTTTATCTAGTTCGCCAAACTTTGATGCATCTGATCCTTGTGAACTGTTTGCAGCTGTGGACGAAACTATACGCAATGCTAGTAAATCCTTGACAGCTTTAAGAAGATACTGTAGCTAAAATATGAAACACGTACAAACAATGGAAAGATCATTCGGATTTTTTTCACTTATATAAGATTATCAATATTTATTAACGAATTACAACTCACTTAAATATTACGAACGTGAAATAAGTAAACCATAATTTAACGAAACCTAAACGGTAAAGAGGTAAGTTACTGTTCGTTGGAAAATTCATCTGCTTAATTTAAAAAGTGGTAATGGTATAATGTGACCTTAAACATTCTCTGAACAAACCACAAAAATAACAGGGCGAAAGTTTGAAGAAAACTATTACCGATTAGAGTTACCAATCTCAATCAGGTACATTTACTGTCACAGTACTTCTACATGACGATCTTCACATTTAAATGACCTTTTATTCATTGACTATACACACCATTAAAATTTCTTCCCAATTACCACAAAGATATTTGTAGTTTCTAGAATTAAGAAAAATTAGCAGTTCACTTCAACATTTACACAGTGTCATTGTTAGTTCTGCAACTCTTACTTCTTATATGGCTTTTGGAGTTGATAACTGTTAACATAATTGAATCCAAAGAAACTGACATCATAAATCTCAGTGAACCTATTACACCCAATCTGTGACAACCTGTCACTGTTACATGAGACATAATTCAAATACTAAGAACCTCGACAACAAAATATTCAAAGAATCACTAAGATTCTTGCTCTTGAAAATAGAGTTACAATCAAAACAAAGTGTACAGATGGCTAGTGAATTAATGACGAAGAACCAGTTCTTTTATATGCCCTTCCATACTTCCGCGACGAATGAACTAACACGGTGAGTTCAAGTACAAAAGTGACTGTTTTAGCCTTTCTCACATCTGCTGTCAATAGTAATGCCGGTATATAACATCATTATGATACTTTACGGTGGATTCAGCGACCTAAATGATCAATGAAAAATTCAATATTTAGTACAGAGTACTCAGGAAACTTCAAATTTACACAACTGCTCAAAATAAGAACATCTTCGTAAGCATATCGGAAAAATAACTATTCACTTGACGTATGTTATGAATCAGAAATTATATCATGCAGCCATAAGTTTAAAGATAAACTGTAACAACAAATATTATTTAAGAAAGCTCTGAAGAATTGAAATGACAGGGTAAAAAGACTTTCGAACACTAAGGATCTTGATGGTGTATTTAATAAAAGAACTCAACAGAATAATAATTACTTTGCTTTTTCTTAAAAATGATACGGTACTACGGTACTACCTTAGAAAACATAAGATTCAAGTTGTATTTAAGTCTGCACAGGAGTATAGCTATTTAGATATCCAAAAGGACGAATGTAATGGTTCAAGATACTATCCTTTGAAGTTATCAGCATGGGTGATAAAAATAAAGGACCAAACGTATTGAGGTTAGCATCAATATTTTTGATAAAAGACGTAAACAGGAAGGTTCTGAAAGGAAACTTGGAAGAGCTAGTTCGTCTATTTGTCGCACGTTGCGTTATTATTTACCGAAAAAATTTCACTAGCTGAAATGTGAAAATATAAGAAAATGAAGAGGTCATACTCACTCATGGAGACTAAACAGTTTCTTTTTGATCAAGATAATTAGGTTGGTATCATGAATGTTAAAATATGTAACGTATAATCAACAAAAATTTTCGGCCTCTTCAAGAATACTGCATGCATTTCAGCATCTTACTTTTACAAATGTTAACAGATTTAAAAGCACAGGAGACACGATGGCGCATTTACAGTTTTCCAAATACAAATCCAACCTATAAATCGTCATCGACTGAGGTGGTTGGAATACGTATTACACATAACAGGCCACTGTCTTCATTGATGAACAATATCAACTGAATTGGAATTAGGTTGGAAGAGTTTAGAGTAGTAAGATGAAGACATTAAATTGATCCACAAAATCATTAACCATTGGTTTGTACCATGTGGGGATACATAGGCTGATTATCTGAATACTAAGAGTCAATGTGTGAAGACAGTGATATAGATCAAACCGTTTATATTGGTATCGATGTATCCACACTTGGTGTTCAGAATTCTAAACAACTTCACTACTGTCGATAGAAATATTCTTCCTCTCACATGACTCTGCACTTTACAGTATCATTCTACTTTATTTCCTCACCTTTTGATATACCTATTTGAAATGCAGCAGCGTGAAATGACAATTTTTACTGATGAAGAGTCCCAAACTAGGACGAAACAATTTCCAGTACTCCCAGGTTTTCCAATGGTTCTCTAACCAATGTCAGCTCATGATGAAATCCTGTAACCACTCTACCAAATCCCTAGAAACCAATAATTGAATAACAATTTTTTCTGTCGTCTTCCCAGATAATTATTCAGTTATCTGTTATTTCGTACAATATTATTCAAGTTAACATCTTTATCCACTGTACATAAAATGTTCTTTAATTTTACTATGACAGCTAAAATAATGTCATCAAGGTATATTTAGAGACAGAAATGTACTAGAATACTCATTTAGTCAAAACTAACCTCATCAACATTAAACTGTTGCAGCATATTACTGGGATAAGAGCCACTATACTGAGCATTTTGAGCAGTACCAATGTTTTCGTACACCGAACTTTGTACATCATTATCAAACATTGTCTGATTTTGATAGAAGTTACTGTGAAGTGAAGAAGACTCGACATTATTTGTGCAGGGTTCATTGACAGGATTCAGAGAAGCGCTCCTATTTGGGCGTGCTCGGACTTGTACACCATAATAATCATACCGTTTAGAATCTAGTAATTAAACAAAGGAAGTTCATTAAGTGCAAAAAGGAAGGAAATGTGTAAATTATCTCATAAGGTGGGCAAAATTTTGTTTATGAAGTGATGTATACTCGTTAACCGAAAGTAAGCAATCCGTAAAAAAACGTTTGTGATTGCAAATTATGGAACATATGCAAAATTTTACATCGCACAATCATCGATAAGTAGAATATGGGTTGGACTTGCAACTCTTCTGTTCAAATCCAAAGTTCCTCATATTATTTCTATTAAATAGAATAAATCAGACTCACACTTGACTAATAACCATATAAAGAAGCAATACTTCTGTTTTTGTCTGTCTGTCTGTTTCCGACATAGAAGTTTGCACAAATGTGCGGAAGTTCAAGTCGCCACACTCCGTGTAGCACGCGAAGCAAGAGAAGAAAGTACAAGAAAAGCATAATAGAAACAGTGAGCAGAGATGTGAGACAAAAGAGTAATAAAGAAAAACAAAACAGTTTCATTGGAGATCATAAGTCACAAGGAGTGGATGCATCTGCGCCACTGAGAACGATTTTGAGCCATGTCACCAATTGTTTCCGACCATAGCTTTTTACCCTCCCGAGGACCCAAGCCTGGAAGTCTACACCTTCCTACGTGACTTAGACCAACTGTTGTGGATTTCATTGACTGGTGAAGCCATGTTTTGGTTTGACCGCCGCTAGCTTTTTTCCAGCCTGACCCTATATCCGCTAACATTGCTCGTCGAGGGAGGCGATGGCTTGGCATACGTAACACATGTCCTAACCATCTCAGTCGATGTAGCTTCACGACTTCGTCGATTGATTTCCCCTGTTTACCTAGAACTCGACGCCTAACCTCAATGTTGCTCACCTTATTATGCCACTTTACACGGGAAATAGAGAGCAGGCACCTATGATCAAAGACAGCCAGCTAGTCTTTTCATGTCTTCCACTCTCAGTGGCCAGGTCTCACAACCATAAAGGAGGATGGAGCGGACTGATGAGCAGTACACCCGCCCTTTGGTCGATAGTCGAACATCTCGTCTACGCCAGAGACGGCGTAAACTAACAAATGCGAAACGAGCCCCTTGTATTCGTGCTGAGATTTCGTCAGAGATCAACCCGTTGGGGCTGATGGTACTTCCCAAATAAGTGAAGCGGTCAACGTGCTCTACCACTTCACTTCCTATTTTTAAACTAGGCGTCGACTTCTGTTTTTAGAAACAGGAAAGCAATCAATCTGATCGATAAGAGACATTTCACACCAAATAAGGCTTATGTAGAAAACTCTTTTGCAAAGGATCTGTATACAAGTTTAAGTGGAGATATGATTCATTGACTAAAGCACGCGACTTACAGAGAGGGTGAGTCATGATTTTGAGACCCTTTACACCTACTTAAACGTGTGAAGCTCTGTAGTACCGTCATATCTTACACAATAAGCGCGACTCAGCCTGGTACACCATCAATCTGTTCTAGCTGAGTCCAAACACATAAGCAAAAGAAGGAAATTTGGAAAAATATATAATTCAATTTAAAAAATAACAGCCTCCGTAACAGAATCAAGGAAGAAATAATAACCTCTGTTTGGATAACTGTCGAATTATTTAACAATATTCACGCCAATCACATACCCAAGGACGGCATACTCCGCAAAGCATTTTCGATACGTTGCTCCAAAAAATGCAGCAGGTCTGTGGAACACGTCTTCCTGACAGTTTCACCAGATGTGGATACAGATGAATTGCTCCCACAATTCGATGGTATTTCAGAGTAACTAGGCACAGAACCATTGTATGGACTGCCTACCATAAGACGTTGTTCATCAGCTATCAAATCTGATAAGTAATGCTCCAGAGCATTTTGTGTGCACTGTGGACCAGGCATTCCTGAAGCTCGCAGCCCCGTTGTGTTAGACAAACCTGAAACCGTGTTACAGAGTTATAAATGCAAATAAAAAATATCCGCTAAATCATGAAATTACCACTAAAACTACAAGATAACTATCCCGTTGCAAGTGATGGTAAATTTATAGGTACGACTAATTTAAGACTGGTTACCAGTAATTGTTACACTCCAGAAAACCTATAATTTCCCACATAGGTCATTTGGCATAGTTCTTCATATTTGTTTACTTAATTCTTAAACAAGGTCCTGAAAGTTAATTAATATTTCTCAAGTTTGCTAAGTGAAAAAATGTTTGCTTGAGTATTGTTTTATTTTTAACCTCTAGTCAACTGAGCTCATGCTAAAGCTACTCTTTGAACTCGACTTAGGAAATTCAAAGTACACAAACCCACAGACATTGTAGTACCTTCCATACGTTCTAAGACAGCTTCTGTATTCCATAGAACTGTTGATGATAAGTGGCAGTCAATGCTGAACAGATATTTGGAATTTCCTTTTCATAAAATACTTGTGCAAATTATCTCAATGTGCTTCTCTTTACCAAATTAAATATGGACAATAACTCATAATTGGAAATTCCCCTTCTGCAAACGTTATGCAAATTCAAATCCCTTTTTACGAATTTTGAAAATCAAATCACCAAAAAGCCTTGCAATGAGAAAAGCTTGTATACCTTCATTTATATGACAACTAATCCAATTTTAATATAGTTAAAAGTTTAGCTCTTGTACAAAAAGAGACGCATTACACTAGCCAACCACCGTTATTGAAGTACTGTGAGACGTGAATGCCGGATACAAGTGTAACTAGAAAATTGGGAACAAGCTGTCTTAAGTTGACTGTATACATCCAGTTAATTTTAGTGGAATTTCAAAAGCGAAAAGTTTCACATGCCCAGTGTGGAAAATAAGTTTTGTATCCAATGAAGTGTAATAGCCCTATAAGCCACCTTCGAGAACTACGCATAACACTTCTCAGTCAACAAATAAGACTATACAACAATCATCAAATGCCTTCAAAGTTTCAAAAACAAACCCAACAGATGGTGTCTAAACATGATCTCTCGTTACATGTTTGCTACTTTTAACTGTGTAACATTATGCCAAATACCCACTGATGGTATTGCATTTCTATCATCCTGTATGAACAGTTAAACAAAAACACTGTGGGAAAAACCTAAAAACAACCTACAAAAACAGATTTTCTGTAATAGGTCTAGATTATATTATTTCTCAGCTTAAATCATATAAATAATTATAAAATAGTTGGATTATCAGTAAAGATTTTAAAAAGTACTTTCTTGCTAGGTAAAAGACCCTTTTATTGCACTCAGATTAGCTCACCAGCATAAACTAACACGGTGAAATCTAGGTGAATTTGAACAGTTATTTTATCGTGGTTACGATTTTATATGGCAGCTTAATTCAAGCTAAATACATTATTTTTTGGTTAGTTTTGACGGTTTGGTACACTCTAATCAGTAGATATTCTGTACAAAGAGTAAAGCAACACCGGCACGTAGTATTGTGACTCTAGTCTTGTAGACTATCCCTTAATTTTTTCATTATTTAAGTCTTAATGTAATCAGTGTACAAAACTGCGGTTGATGACTCTAGATTATCGCGAATAAACTTGTTAATATTAGAGGATATAGCTCCAGATGGATTTCGCTATCAGAGTACTTGGGTAAATCATAGCAGGAAGGAATATAAGATCCTCTGCATCCCGAAAATCGAAGTGTTAAATCGAAAGGTAGACAAGTGTTAGGCCCGACTAATAAGACAAGCGTCATGTGCAGTGGTGAATAGAACTTTATTCCCAAGTTCAGTTCTCTCATATACTCAGTTGTATTGCTAACATTAATTCACAAAAGTGCGAAATATATACGAAGTTTTTAAAAACATTCGGAATAGTCATGTTCACTACCCATAATCAACTTACCCCTCAGTATTCGTAATTTAAAATTATGGTCAATAAAACATTAGTAACACAATTCGAAAGAAAACATGACTTTCAGAGTGCAGCATATTTTTGAAAAATGATTTCCTCATACAGTCAACAGTATTATGCTTTGTGCGTAGTCAACTCCCCGGAGTACATGATTAGTAAGCAAGTTAAGTAGTTTCCAATCGCAACAATTCGGTGTAACTACCAGTGAGTTTACTAATTATTTGATATGAATGATAACTACGAGCGAGAGAAATCGTTCCCAGTGAGTTAGTGACACCAAAGAAGATAATGGTCTTAGTAATAAGCCTTGCATCAATGCGACCGGCTCATTAAATAAATTACCATTGTTTACACAAACAGACACAGAAAAAAATTCTCCCCTTCAGAATCATTGCTTCAAATGAATAATGCAACTAATTTCATACCTCAGTGCTTTTGGCACTGCTGTTGTTTCACCAGTGAAATTATCAGGCAGTCGCTGAAATAAGCACTAAATTTTTGGTTACAATGGCATAAACTGGGCTATGCAGCGATAAAATTTGTAGACGAAGTTCTGTACACTCTGATAAATGAAGCTTTTTTATGAACTCTTTGAGTGTGAAGCGTGTCAGAATTACAAAGTCAATACACTAGTTCACACACGGAGAAGCATTTATAGGATGTCACAAAATTCCACTATTATCTTTAAAAAACATCGACGAAGAAAAACTAATTTGAAGGTACTTACCAACACCCCATGAGGCATGCCTTGGTTGTAGACCATAAAGTTGAGTTTTGATTTGCCTGTTTGCTTGATTGTTATTTCGCATTTCCTGATATCCAGCGTGCCAAGCGCGTTGATCTGCAGGAGGATATGAGTCATTACTGGAATGTTCATTTGAAATATAAACAGGTGTAGGATTCAAGACATTGTCTATGGAACCTTTCTGACTTGGTGAGTTGTAAAACTGTTTATCACCTTGACCGTCAGAGAACCTCTTCCAGAAGTGCTGTGAATCAATCATCACAGAAGATTCTTTCGTTATTTTTGGTAAATAGGATGGTTGGGCACTTAGTGTTCGATTGCAAGCTTGATCTTTTGCCGAAGTGCTCGAATTTTCTGGCCCACAAGGATAACTTGACATGCTGCTAGGACTAGGAGCCCACCTCTGACTATGTTCTTTCCTCACTGCGAAAGGTGTTACTACACAACCTGAATGAAACAACTCATCACTTTCGGAAAGTGAGTTAGACGAAGCAGCCCTGCCACTCACAGAAAAGCTATCAAATGACCGAGTAAGACCTTGTTCACTCACAAGTGGAGAACATGGTGTAGCAATTATAATACCCGTGGGCTTGGATTGCAGTGCAGACACACTTCCGGATGATGAGGACTTGACAACCTCTTTCATATATCTCTTTGTACGTGGTATTTCCTGTGGTTTTACCGGTATACTTGATTTTTGGGGCTTTAATTTATTTCCTATTGGTATGTTTGGTGCGTTCTGGAAGATAGATGAATGAGCTGATGTAGACTTTGATGCAGATAAATTAGTGTACGGAGGTTTGTTAGAATAATGAACTTTGTGGGTCACTGGTAAATTTTCAGGATTGACAGAGTCGTCCAACGCTGGTTGAGCAGTAGAATAATAACATGATGGAGAAACTGAGTCCGCACTATGATTCCCAGAAGTTTCCTCCTTCGCTTTATTAAGTTGACCTGAGTTTTCATGCTTAATTTCATTCATATTGTGCACGAACAAACGTGGGTATGGTTCGTCTGTGCATTTTTTTGTATATTTTCCTGTGACATTGCTAAGACCAGGCAAAGGCTCCAGCTTGCGTTGCATTCGAACGATGAATGCAGCGATTTTAGCGGACAATTTAGGAATTTTCCTCTTATGAAAAGTTCACTCCTTTGAAGTAACCAAACAAACTATACTGTTCAACTTTTCCAATATTCAAAATATTTTCTGAAAGACTGTATACAGACAATGATATTTTGTCGTCACCCCTCTGTTTCATTCATCGGCTCTAGACCTTTGAACGATTTCATATCGAAGATTCCTGGAACCTCTACCTCACAATCAAGAAGCGAGCTCAAAGAAATCACTGGTTTATACTAGCTCGTAATCAGGATATTGGATATTGGATATTGCAAGATTGTCAAACGTAGCTCTGTTCAAAGTAGTAATCGAGGGATTCTAATTTATTTCCGATTACTCCATGATATTGTCACTACTGAGGCTTTCGGTCATTGTTTTGCTACACATAACTCCAGATTAGTCGGGAAGACACTATAAATGAGAAACATAAAGAGACCAGAAGTGAAATCTATGTGGTGATCTGTCAAACCTATAGATGAGACAAAACAGTGACATATTACACCCTCAGAGGACTGAGAAGGGAAGACGAAAAAGGATAGTGAAGGGAGGCAAAACGGACAAGAAGGAAAATTTACGGAAAAACAAAGAAAAATTAAGGTGAAAGGCAGGAAGTTTATCAAGTCAACTTAGTAAATAATAGCTATGCTTCTTCAATAGATTACGCGAATAACTAATTTCCCATGGTCGTCTATTCTGTTCTTGCTGTTACCAACTGATAAAGCTGTAGCCATCCAACCAGTACAGTACAAAGTAAACCCGGCCACATTGTCAAACAACCCGGGATGGCTGGAAATTGTGGTTCCTGAGGGAACTATTTAATATCTTTGTAGTGCCTTAAGGTGTTCGTTGCCCTTAAGCGAACGCTTCAACCTGATGACAGTTTCAGTCAGGTTACAGAAGAACATTGGAGATATTTTAGACAACGTAACTGACGGGTTTTCCATCAGGAATATAACAGGATATTTTTTCTTTCCTTTTCATACACATCCACCTACTCCAGACAACGAGTAGGCCAGTTTTAATGAGCATGCCGGGCGAAATCCTTGTTGTGTAACATTTGTATGAATATGCTAACACCTCAATGTTCATGTAGCGTCATGGATTATCGTGAAATGAAATCAAATCAAATCGGCCGTTGATTCTGAAACTGTAGAGACTACTGCTGCTCAAATAAACCTCAGTCGGGTTCTGGATAATGCTAACGAATTCATGTCTATAAATATGATCAGGATGTGTTGCTACCAGTTTCCTGATACTCGGACTGTACATTAAAGGTCGATATATCCCTAACAATAAGGATTTTCACTATATTATGATAGAGTCTGCGGACGGAATCGAGACGTGGCGTCAGCGATAGAGACTGCTGAGGGGGCTTTCCATGGGCTTTTTTATTTGAGCCGGCTTACTACTAACTGAATGCAAGAATCCCTGTCGCGGCTTAGACGTTTGGTTGCTGACATGGGAATGGAACGGTACGATCAGGACTATTAATGCATATTGTACTGACGTTATTTGTAGACTTTTCTAGTCTATTGATAGTAACCGACTGTGAATCGCATAGTCAAGCTGCTGTGTAATTGACATGTTCTATTAGCTCTTGCTTGGTTGGTCAATAAACCTTCAACTTACCGGCCATTCTTCAATACTGCACATCTGGTGTTCTACAATCGACGAAATCGTGTTTCGTTGAAACTGTTGATAATTCCCGGTTCACTTTTTTGGATTTTTTAGTTCAACTGTCTTTTTTGTTGGTTTCTTCTATTTCCTCTAAACTCATTGGCCTGGAGATTATCGGCACTCTACTTGGTCCACTGATGGTCCTAAATTCTGTTTCTTTCATAAGGCGTTGGTTGACATATACATTCTGGCTCTAATTATGGTGACACTCTGTAATGACTGGGCTAAGGAAAGGACAAGGTAGTTTGGACGCCACCACTAGGATGTATCGATGGCTAAATGATCCACTTTACTGATAAAATGCCTAGGGTTATGGTTGATATGTCTGGTGATGATTTTTTAAGGAGAAAGTTGCCTGAATTTGAGTCATAGTCTTATGATGGAAGATCAGCATACTTCGTGGAGGGGATTGAAGTAATGTTGAGGGATAAGCTGAGTGATAAAATAATGCTGATTTATTAATTGAGCCATTGTACTGGTACTGCTATTGGTGTAATACAGTTGCGTAATTTCTTGCCTCCTAAGGAGGGTTAAATGAAGGCAAGAAGAATGTAACACCAGAGATTTGGAAGGCCATGTATGGTATACAAGGGGGTCCTTGACATCGTCAAACGTTATGGTCAGCAGTTAGGAGATGACTCCAAAGATTTCAATTTATTTTTGGATTGCTAGATTACCTGTAAAAATATTTCAATATCTTTGAATTACATGAACGGTTTGATTTCGAGTTCTCCCTTTTGGATAATTGCTAGAGGTTTACCTAGTAGATTACAAAGAAATTCAGTAAAGATCAGCATCCGCCAATGTAGAAAAAGATTGAATGATCAATTTATTGTTTTTTGCTCAAACCCAACTCCTCCACATTTTTCGAGGGAGTCATCAATCCATCAGTCATCGACTCATCGTTCACTGTTAAGGGGAAGACAAAAAACTATCAGAAGAATTATCATAATTTATTGTTATAACATTCATTCTTGGACATTGTGTAATAACCTCACGCTGTCCCCCGGAGGTATTCAGAAACGCTTAGTATTAACCGACGCAAAACCAAACACTGTTTGGCGACTCAAGAATTCTTTATTCTAAGGCAAACATATAACCAACAATACTGTTATTACAGAGGAAGGTTTCTGATAGTTTTTTAATCTTTCTTCTGAACAGCGAGCGATGAGACGATGACTGCAGTATTGATGACTTTGTGGAAAGTATGAGGAAGTTGGGTTTGAGCAAACAACCATGAATTGATCTTTCAATCATTATCTACAATAATATTGACACCCCCCAGCAAAACACGGATCCATCCCTTTTTTCCATCACGGCCAATTCACGTTGACCTGGATTCCATTGCGAGAACCTAGGTCACACGGAGAGAGCTGAAATGGAAAACAAACAGAAAAGCTAACACACCACAGGCATGTCCTCAGCACAATCACACTCATCGATGACGACCTACGCCTTCCAGTTAAAGGCATTCGCTTGACATCTTGCAACACAATCGCCACTTGCTAGAATGACTCTTGCAGAATGCAACGTGACCATAACAGCACCTCATGATTCTCTACGCGCGTCCTCTTATCTACTCACTACCAATTACCATTGAAATCGCTTGTCACTCATTCTGCCTCAGTTCTAGTAACGGTGACGCATGCGAGCCTCAGTCGTCTACACTCTCACTCACCGGCGTGTCGGACCACAGCTACTCCTTATCTCCGTGTGCATGTCATTCTCAGCAATAGCCTAGCCTCCCCGGCGTATACGAACCATCTACTGTCTCTAACATCAATCAATTCATTCACGGATGTAGAAGACTCGAAACAACTTCAGAAGTAATCACGACGAAAATTTTAACAAAATTACGCAATAACAACAAGTAAACACAGTGAATACAAAAACGCCAATGGATAGGACACACCGCATATATACACACAGTGCACATAACCTCGTAGATCATGTCTTGACGGAATGTCTTTGAAGAATCACAGGACTTACACCAGTACACCTGCAACCCTTCTCAGGTTGACGATTGTAGGTTGAAGAATGTCCGGACACAAACAAGATTAACCAACAACTACAATAATTGGAATTCATATAATTGTTTAACACAAAACATATGTACAATCAATACATCAAATGTTATGGATTCTGGCCTGATAAACTACCCTTGAAAAACTGTAGGACTTACAGCAGTACGCCTACAGCCCTAAAATGGAAAATCGTTTCAGACTTTATTTGCTGACCTCCTTCTATCATCTATATCCTCAACTCTGAACGGTGACACGCCCATGTCATTGTATCGTAGAATGTAGATGACTAAAAACCTTATGACGTATCTGGTCAACCAAGCGTAGGTACATAGTAATGTACACCAAAGATAACATCATTCAAATAGCAACTTGAAACTTGAAAGGCCTTTATTCGTGCAAGTCAGTTTACCAATTGCCATCTGATACACAGTCGGCTTATCCTCACTAAACTGAACATTGACATTCGTCCTCTCTAACGGGCGGATACTAGCATAGTCATAGCACAAGACACGTGATTTCATGGACATCGCTTTCGTTGTGGATGACAACTCCAACGACGTCCGAGTGATAACAGTTAATAAACTTAGTGGTGCATCAGAAGCTGTTGTTGTTCGACATTTACAAGGTTGTCTAACCGCAAGATTACCACCACTGCTGCCATTTGCTATTGGCTCCGGTTTAGCACTAGCATCTTTTGTTAGGAGTGCTACACGCTGATCACTTACACTGACGGTCTCACAAGTATCCATACCTTCTGCAACTGCATCTGCCTTTAAGTCAACTTCACGTTCAAGTTGTACAGTACCTTTGTTCAACTTAGCGGTAGTAGGCATTCCCCACATGTCATCGTGATCAACTATAGACAAATTGTACTATCATGATCATTGTCATAAATATTCAGTTTACCGTCGTCTATCTAGTCGACTTCATCACTTTCAAACTCTGTAATAACACCAGTAGACAATTCTGGTTCCTCCTCACAAATCCTTAAAGGTTTTATACCTTTACTCTGACTAGTAGTACCTTGAAAACTTGTGGAGTCAGAATAAGACTCTGAAACTGTAACTCTCTTCTCCTGCACAAACTGCGGTATCGTCTGTGACACTCCATTCAACAATGGCTTACCAGTCGCAAATACAGGCTTCTTCACTGCACGATTATCGTCACACAATTCGGAGTCAGACCTTGATGACGCTGACTTCACATTTAGCTTACCACTAAACGTAGTCACTTCTTCACAGTTCGCTTTTGTATACACTTCTT